GTTTTTTAATGTTTTCCATTTAATTTCTAGAATATTTTGAAAATATCTTTTAAAACCTAACCTTAGGAACCTTCTTCTCTTTTACACTGAACATCCACTATTTTCAGTCACATCTATCGCCAAAGTTTACTGACTGGATTGCCCAGAAATATTAAAATCTCCAAAAAGCTTCTAGTGATCGTTCGAGTATTGATTTGGATGGTCCCTTCCCCTGATGTCATCGTACAAACACACGCTTCCTTTGAGCCCCACGGGTTACTCCTGCAGCATCTGCTCCTCGCCCTTTCGTCGTATCTCCCGTCGAGCCTCGCGCCCGCACGGCCCCTCTTCGAAACATCAAACACAGAGAAGAAATGCATTCGCACATTGCGGGTGCTGAGAGAAAATCATTTTACCCAAAGCTTTGTCGCTGAATGGTTTTTTTGGACTACAGAACAAAGCATCCCAGCGACGATATATTTGAATACACAAATTAAAAAAATCCCAAAAATTCACAATTTACACATGGCAATTCATTTTAGGTATTGATTAACTGAAAGGATTTCTCCGAGCTGAAGGAAGTGAAATATTGTATCTACTTTTTCCCAAAATAATTATACCAATTTTTGGATATGTTTTAGCGGTCTGAATAAAAAGGTGTTTAAAAAGTCAATACAGCGCAAATCCAGAATTTTCATTTTTGTAATAGAAAATGCAAATAAATAGCCCTTTTTGTATTACCATCGTATTCTTTGTTATTTTCTCTACAGAAATTCGTGGTTTTCTATTCTTTTGCAATAGTCAATTTGGCAGCAGTGCAGGAAATTCTTCGACGAGAATAGCATTGCCCATAATAGCCTTCACGACGTGAAAAGTCGTCAGAGCTCTCTGGCTTATGGGAGTACTCAAGGTCCACTACCTATTACAATGTACTAGGTGGTTTATTTCTTTTATTATTAATTATATTATTAATAATAATTATAATAATAATCGACAGCAAAGATTAGACCTCTTGATCTGCTCCGTCTCGAAATTGTTAATGCCATCTCTTCAAGTGCTGTCCTACACTTCCTTTTCCTTTGGTTGCGTATTGATAAATAATTTTACTTACCCTCTGTTCTGGTATTCTCATGACATGACCTTTCTATTTTTTTATATATTTCTTTACGGTATTTAATTGTATAATGATATAACTACTACTACTACTACTACTACTACTACTACTACTACTACTACTACTACTACTACTACTACTAATATCTGTTACAAATACTAAGATAAAGACTTTTTCATTTTATAAAACATTTCTATTAAACCGTTACTTTAATGACTATATGTTATGAATATTAATAGATACGTTTTCAGAGCGCCCTAATTTCACATTAACTATAATGTTTGCAATTGTCGTCAGTATTGTATTTGCATCAATTGTTGATATTTCTTCGAAAATTTAATACAGTTTTATAATTTTTTAATTTGAATTTTATGCATGCCCGCAGATTTGTATTCTCCTTTTGAACACACTAAATCTTTCGAAATTTTCATTTTAACATTTAATTTTGGATAAGAGATCAATTTGTTTTAGAGTACTTACTACAGGAAGACAATTTTACTGATAAATATTAAGTAGGTTTCCAATATCTGGGCACCAACACATTCTTTATTGTCATTCTATTTTTCAATAAACTAATATTAGCACCTCCAATAGGAAATTGACACAAGTGCAAATTTCTGATTTCTCAGATATTGCAATTTTAAGTTTCGTGGTTCTGTAATACTCGTTATAGATTGTACCAAATATTCACCTTCTAGCGGACAGTAATTGAACTAATTCAAAATCAACTTCAGATTAGTAGCAGAACCTCTTGGTAACCTCTTATCAGCTTTTAGCTGAAAAATGACATAACTTTTGCTGTACATTTCTAGAACATCTATTTTCCTTAAATTATACCACTCATAACGAACCCTTTCTGAAACATTTATTTTTATTCATAATTAAAGAGATTATATGCAATGTTACATATCTCCAAGGAACACAAGTTTTAGGAAAGAAAAGTACCAACAATAAATCTTAACATTTAAGATAAGATTTCGTGGTTTTCGAACACCGATTGGTGCATAAGAAACGCCTCATTTAAATTCAATATGTGCCATTAACCTGATGCATCGTGCATGCATGTTTACGAAATACTAAAAAAAAATTGTAGCACATTGATAATATGCTCTTTGAATGGGCGAATTCTTAAACTAAGACAGGAAGGAACTTATTCATGCACAGTCATGATTTGTGGGATAAGAAACCAACTCCAAAAGTCTTATGCCAACTCATACATTTATTTAATAAATACGTACATTCAATCACTCTTTGCAAATAAGTTACATGTTCTCAAACTCTGCCCTCCCACGCTCCTGCAGGGTCGGTCCGTGTTGGTTGCGACTGCAGGTGACTGCAGGAGGGGCTCACGACGTCCCGTGCCTGCAGCCTTGTCTGAGGCGCACCACCAGGTACACGTCCGCGCCCCCTGTAGTCGTCGGGACGCAGTAGGAGCCCCGCGCTGGCTTCACATCCTCCATGGTGTAGTTGGCCTCGCACAGGCTGCGGGTGGTCGAGCGCAGGATGCTTACGGGATCAGTCTGGGCGAGGCCCCCCGCCAAAACATCTGACTGCGTGTCGGTGGGCCTGGCGCGCACCACTGCCAGCACAGCCATGGCGCACAGCACGCACAGCGGAGACATGGCTGGCAGGCGCTGGAAGGAGTGCTGAGGAGTGCGTTCTCTAGAGGCATCTGCACCGATTTTATACACTCGTCAGTTTCCTCCTTGTTTCCTAGCTGCGAGAGAAGTGTGTCCACACCTCCGGATGTCCTGGTAGGCGTCATCGATCAGCACTCGAACGCAGAGAAATCTCCCAAAGTCTCTTGCTTCGATATCCGGACACTAGACGCTATTTTAAAATTTCGTTGGGGACTTTGAGGGAAAACATGAGTAAATGTAGTGCAAAAAGGCAGTGGAAGGAGCCTTGGGAAATGCGTTCTGAAGAGGTATGTGTATGCAGCGTCTTTTACATTTTCGTCGTTTCCTTCACCTCTTCCTTCCCCAAACCGCAAGAGAAATGTGTTATCACCGCCGGATGTCCTGATAATTGTCATGTAGCATCACTGGAACGCAGAACACCGCATAACTTCTATTGTGGGTTTCGGGCACCCGACACTATTTTGGATTTTTGTTGGGACATTTGAGCCAAAACGTTACTATGTAGACCATCTCTTCGCATTTGAAAGAAAAAAACCTGAACTCTGAAGAGGGACACTGAACCATGCAAAACACTTGTCTGTAGCTCAAATTTTTATCGGATAGCATAATCTTCTCAATCCGTCTCTGTATATGTAAATACTCTTCAAAAATATTTCAAATTTCATTTGCAAATTCGAATATGCACTAACAAACATGTTTCTTCACTTCCTTTTTAATGAGTGTCTTAATGGGTATACATATTTATCAGTGTAGTTCTTATCTCCTAATATCATTTTTATCTTTACAGACACTTATGGTATATATAAACAAAGAAATTCTTAGTGTAAATAAATAGTGCTATGTAAACTAGTGGTGACTAGTGAACCTGTGCAAGAACTCTCGCATGTTTTTCCCACCCTTTCCCTATTCATTTCTCTATATTTTCCATTAAGACGGAAAGTTGTTAATGAAACGTGTCTATTGTGTAAATTGTATAAATTGTGTAAATGTATAAATTTAACTTAGTACTTACACAATATCATACAAAAAGAAAACAATGGAATTGATATTGGAAACAATTTTTCAATAAAAGTTAGATATTTTACTATTGAAAAAGCCAAGAAAAGTTTTCCATGCAATGATACAGGATTTGACAAGTACAACCCTATTCTTTGCAATATTATTTAACTTTCCTGGATTTGTTATGAGGAACAAAGGGACAGGGCGCCTTTGTGCGATTGGTGCGAAAATTGAAAAAATATTTTTATACTAAAAAAATTTTGGATTATTTTCTGCGTGCTTACGTACCACAAGAAAAGCAAGTCGGAGCAAAAAAATAATAAAACTATTATTTTCACTTCACAAATACTATTTGTTACAATTAGAAACAATTCAGTAGGTATGTATTTTATTTTTTGTCGTTCATTAATTTCGATCTATTTTACTTTAGTTAATTTAAAAGGGTTGTTCTTTGTGATTGACCATTGCACGGTTGTTTTCCCCTACTACCTCTGTACACCGGTGTGGGAACTCTCGCATGTTAAACAGCACAATCTTCCCTATTCTTCTATTTCCTTTCGAAGAGGGAAAGTTGTTAACGAAATGTATTTATTTGTTTAGAAATGTATAAAGTTAACTTTCAATAAACTTACAAAATCCAAATAAAAAAACAATATAATTTACGTTTAAAATAAAATTTTAATAAAGATGTTTTTACGGGTAATATCGAGAGATTTCTTCCAACAATTCACAACACTCTCTAAAAATATTTGAAATGATTATTCAATATTCGTTCACAGCTTTTCGAATTTCGCGATAGTCACAAAAATATTTAAAAAAATGCTTTTCACTGATGAGAAAGCTACGTAACTGAACACGCTGAGTTGAATTTTCACCGAATCACTGTTGATAACGAAAATACTGGTACAGGTATAATATAAACCAAACATAAAAAGACACGTCTTCACTCTCCATTGTTTACCCATCTACAATTGCACTTGTAGACAATAAACAGAACTTGTAGACCTCGACATATTTTTAAATGAATGGTTGCACTACACACATGAGAAACAATTTTTACCGGTATGAAGCAACTATTAATAGTACTTCTGGTTGTTGCCGCGAGAGCGAATCTTGAATTAATAATTATGCAAATAAACCTAAACAGTCTGCGCAAGGTACGGTGTGCGCAGGAAGCGTAAATATTATAAGAGAGAGCAATCTAAGCCTTCTAAGCATTACGTCACGACGATCGCCACCATCACCGAGGGTTGAAATATCGTCACAGAGAGTCTATATCAGAGACAGCTCCCAAAGTGAAACGGAAAGCACTTATTGAGTGGACGGAGAGAAATTCGAATTTCCCACCACAACAGGAGCAACGAAACAGAAAGAAGCAGCAAATTTCGCTCACCGTCAGCTAAAAAGCGTCGAAAGGCAGCCTACCAATTGAAATGGAGGACGGACGTTAACCTGGACAGTAAAGAATGACAGTAAAAGATTACACTACAAGTGTAATTTAGCAAAAGGCATTGAGTAAAAAATGTAACTCAATTTATTTTAACTTGATTTATCTCAGAACACAGTTTTTTGTAGTAGGTTTCACTTGTATTAAGGAATTTCAGACGATAAATTGATGTTAAAAAGCACAGCAAATTACTAAGTAAACAGCACATGAATACCCATAGATAGATCATATCCAGAATTACTTAATTATATTTGTAACAGATCTTGAACAGGTTTTCAATTATTAAGAAATTATTTTCTTTTTTGTCTGTTCAATTATGAAAGCAAATTTTTTGATACACTTTGAGGCAAAACTAAATTTAGGGATATTATAGCTGATTAACAAATAGAAATGATTTTCATTTTTAAACATTGGCTCTCTTGTGCTTGTACCATGATACTCCCTTTTATCCTCGTCATTCCACCAAATGGAGAATGTTCACATATGAATGTATTTACATAGATAAAATGCATGAAAAGTTTTCTTTAAAACTTTCTTTTCAAAGAACATTGAAATGCATAACTTTATGACAATTTAGTCTGTTGCAGGCTTAATTAAGAACATATTGAAAGAAAAGACCACAGGATCTTTGAAATTCAGAATTTATGGCACGACTCACCCACAAACATTTTCCCATTGTTTCCCATACGATTTGTATAAATTCTTATAATATTCGTTGTGACAGTATTGGAACAATGTAAATTACTCGTGAAAACTATCCCTATCTCCAACTATATGCACTCAACTCACACTTTGACCCTCCCAATAAACTCTCACTACACCCCATGTGGTTGGTGGAAGAATACATTTCACAGTGATACTAACTAGTTTTTAAACCTGCCAAAAATCGTCCACTGGATCAGAATGGACCATGAACTACACTGTATATACTATGTCATATCACTTGAAATCCAAAATTACTACACTGCAATACTAAGAAATTACCAAAATTGACAACATTATACTTCGTATCATTGCTGGAATGAATTCCACCTCCAGCATGCCCTGCACCCTTTTTTTCAGCAGGTAGAGAGCTGTTTGTAATACAAAAAGAGGCGTTATTGATATTCAAGATATGTAGTGCTGTCTCACCTTCATAAAACAAGGTTGTTCTCACCAGGTCATGCAATTTACAAAATAAAGTTTCAAAAAGAGCCCCAAATATTTGATTTAATTTTTTCCCTGTTAGAACAAATAACGCTTAAAAGAATAGCGCCGATCAAATTTTCGTTCAAATCTCTAAAATCTTGAAAATTGCATGTTTGAAAATATACGAGAAATTATGTGCTGAACAATAGTTATGATCTACTCTAGATTTGATCGTTTTAGTGGAAGTTTGGGTGAAAGGAAACCAGAAAACACAAGGCACTGTCCAGAATTTATTAACTAAATACGCACAACCAAATTGATTTAACTGCAAACATCAATAACTTATATTGTACACTTCTCTTCAAAGATTTAATTTCAATTTTCCTATTCCTATTTATAAGACAATTCAGGATTCTCAGTGAGTCTCAGTGAAATTATATTTTCAAGCTAGAACATCAAAACAATATCATTCACAATATATGAAAAGGAGATAACACAAGTTCTCAAATGATTTCCAAGGTCCTGATTACTTTTTTTCAAAGAAATACTCTTTCCAATTACATACTTGTGATAACTAATAAAAATAAATAACCACATTAGTAACATTTTCCTTCCAGACTTAAATTACTTACTCACGAACTGCACTCAAACATTCTTTCGAAACAACCACATTCGTTGATAACACACTCGCCATGACTAGAACAGCAAGGGCCCTGCTTAGTTGCTGGCCGGTTGGGGGCTCCCTCTCGGGACGAGGCGCACTTCCATGCAGAGGCCCGAGGCCCTCGCGCCGCCAGAGCCGCATTTCTTCCGCAGGCGAACGGTCTTCTGCGTCTGGGACTCGATGAACCCCCTGTTGTCCCGCAGCACCGCCTCCACCACCCCGAGGCCTGTGGGCGGGGGGTCCAAGTCACGTGACTCCACGTCGGAGGGCCTGGCGCACACCACAGCCAGGAGGGCCAACCCACACAGCGCGCACAGCGGAGACATGGCTGGAAGGCGCTGGAAGGCAGTGGAAGGCAGTGGAAGGCGGGAAGGAGCCCTGAGGAATGCGTTTGTAGGCGCCGGCGTTCGGTTTATATATTCAACGCTTCCCTGATTCTTTCCTCGTCCTGGAGTGACGTCGAAAGTCCTGCGCTTGTCCTCAAGAGCGTCACTACGCAGCTGTTTGGCAAATTGTGTGCGCGCGTATTCTGTTTACATACTTCTCCTCTTTCTCTCCCTCTCTCTTCTTTTTCCTCTCCCTGTCTCTTCTTTCTCCCCCTCTCCTTCTTTCCCCCTCCCTGTCCTCTACTCTCTCTCATCCGATTTCTCGTTTCCTTTCTGTTTTCTCCGTTTCTCTCTCTCATTCTCTTACTCCCTCTCATACTTTTCTCTCCAGTTCTCTCTCTTTCCATGTCTTATTCGTTCTCTCTCCCTCTCTCGCCATCTTTTCC